ATACATATCTATATATCTACATATAAAGCCTACATAAGCATCCCTGCATCTATTTGTGTGTGGTTGTGAGCATGCATAAGTGTATAAGGCTTCTCTAGAACATTTAATAGTAACTGTGAAGCAGCAGAGACCCGACCCCCAAGACCAGAGGCAGACGAAAAAGGGGGGACCAGAGCCCAAGACCCCAGGAGGGACCCCGACCGCGGAGCCCCCAGGGCCACCCACACAGGACGAACCACTCACTCACCCCCTAGAACGGACCACAGGGGAGAACCGGAAGATCCCCACCAGCGACCACATACAGTGACCCCCTGGGGCCAACAGCGACAAACTCATAGGCCTCCGTCGGAACCCGCCGCACCGATGTAGGTCCAGGCCTGGGCACCGAGGCCCGGGCACCGAGGACTCACACCACCCAGGCCAAGGCCTGACAGGACCAGAGGACCCGAGCCCCACCAGGCAGACACCAGGCCGAGCCGACACACGCCCAAGCGCCCAGCCCCCGACACCAAGGGCCCCAAGCGCGCCGGCAGGCAAGGGCACACCCCACCAGGGGGCCGTGCAATAGGGACGCGATGCCAAGCACCCCCAGTTGTATCAAAGAGGGGGCAGTCCGAGTCTCGGCCTAACAAATACCCATTCATACACAGACACAATCCCAACCTCATTCTCACATTCACTCACTCAAAGACATACAATAACGATACATTTCATTCTTATTCCCGATACGCACTCTATACCCCCAGGTCCAAGACATGTACCCGCCCTCTACAGGGGGCAGCCCATGCCCAAACCCAGGAGGTAAACCCATTCATTCTCGAGCGGAGAAGAGCCAATACCCCAGACCCGGCCCAGGCCATGCCCAGCCAACAGGACACCCCCCCCACCATGAAGAAGACACGCCACCGACCACCCCCACACACCGCCAACAACCAAGCACGTGCCCCCAGCCAACCGCCCACCAGGCCCCGGCAGCCACCCCGGCCAGCGGGCCAACCATGGCACCCAAGAGCCAAGCTCAGGGGGTCCAAACAACCCCAGGGAGAGCACAGCGCCAGCACCGCCCACGGCAACCCCCCAGACCCCGAACCCCCACATAGTCCTGGTCAACACCCGACGGCCTGCCCTTCTCCCGGACCCCACCCCCGGAATGGCAGTCAGGGAACTGGGGGGGAGGAAAAAAATAAAATAAAAAAAATAAGACCCCGACACATACACCCCCGCCCCTAGATGTGCTGTTGATGTCTGTTGTTGTATAGTGCCATTAAAAAGGAAAGAAGAAGGAACAAAGGCTGGCATGATGCCAGTTTCCCCTCCACCCCAACTCTATCCAAACCCTAGTGTCTAAATGCAACCGTTGTAAGTGAGCACAGGCACAGGGGGTGAGAGTAAGGTCATCCCACCACCCATAGCCATGTGCCCACCTCAAGTTCCTATATGTGAATGTCATGAGGATGTTATGAATGAATGTCTAAGGTGTACAATAAAATTGAGTCCCATGTGTCTATGGTCAACAAAGCTGTAAAATTGTTGCAGCACACCCGAGCCCAAACAACCCTAAATGTATGGAATTGAAATGAAGAGGGTGGAGGTGCATGGTGAGGGATGGGGAGAAATAACTGTGAGAGCAAATGCTCCCACAGGGAGTCAGCCCCCCCCCCCCCCCCCCCAGCTCCCCAAGGTCCACCCAGGGATTGAGGTCAAGACACCTCTCCATCTGGACCGACCGCCAGGCCCGCTGAGCTCCAGACCAGAGAGGGACAGAGCCCCGAGGGCCGCCAGAAGCAGCACCAGCAGCCTACACACCCGAGGGCCGCCAGGACCCCCACAAACCGCAGTCAGCCCGCTACCAGATGAAGCCAAACCCCACCAGGACGACCCGGCCAAGAGCGCCCGCCCAACCGCCGACAGTGCCAGGAAGCACCGGGAGCGAGCCCCCACCACAGGAAAGGGGCCAGCCAGCCGGCCATGCACAGTCCCGGGCCGCCCCCAAGGACATCCACCCCATCCCCACCCCAGAAGAAATACTACACCCACCCCTCATTCGGACATCTCTCAAAACACATAGCACACTAGACTAGAGTT